TTAACTCGAGATGAATTAAATATTTCAATGTAAGACCTCAAACTCTAAAAACCCAAGAAGAAAACCTAGGAAGTACGACTGTGGACATTGGTCTTGGGAAAGAATTTATGACTAAGTTCTCAGAAGCAATTGCAACAAAAACAAAAATTGACAAATGGGACCTAATTAAACTAAAAAGCTTCTGCACAGGAAAAGAAACTATCAACAGAGTAAACAGACAACCTACAGAATTAAATAAATTACTCACAAACTATGCATCTGACAAAAGTTTAATATCTAAAATCTATAAAGAACTTAAACAATTCAACAAGCAAAAACCAAGTAATCCTATTAAAAAGTAGATGAAGGACATGAAGAGACACTTCTCAAAGGAAGACATACAAGTGGCCAACAAACATATGAAAAAATGTTCAACATCACTAATCATCAGAAAAATGCAAATCAAAACCACAATGAGATAGCATCTCACATCAGTCAGAACGGCTATTATTAGAAAGTCAAAAAATAACAGATGCTGGCAAGGCTGTGGAGAAAAGGGAATGCTTATACACTGTTGGTGGGAATGTAAATTAGTTCAGCCTCTGTGGAAAGAAGTTGGGTGATTTTCCAAAGAACTTATAACAGAACTACTATTTGACCCAGCGATTCCATTACTGGGTATATATCCAAAGGAAAATAAGTAATTCTATGGAAAAGACGCATGCGCTCATACGTTTATTGCAGTACTATTTACAATAGCAAAGACATGGAATCAACTTAAGTGCCCATCAAAAGTGGGTTGGATAAAGAAAATGTGGTACATATACATGTACTATGCAGCCTTAAAAAGAATGATATCGTGTCCTTTACAGCAACATGGATGCAGCTGGTGGCCATTATCCTATGCAAATTAACAGAGAAACAGAAAACCAAATACTGCATGTTCTCACTCATAATTGGGAGCTAAAAATTGGGCACTCATGAACACATAGACAGGAACAATGAATACTGGGGACTACTAGAGTAGGGAGGGCAAGACGGGGGCAAAAGCTGAAAAACTACCTACTGGGTACTATGCCCCCTACCCAATAGTAACAGGATAATTCATACCCCAAACCTCAGCATCATGCAATATATCCATGTAACAAATAAAAAAAGACTTTTATTTTAAATTCAAGGGCTTCACATGTACTCCCTGAATCTAAAATTCACTGTTGGTGGGAATGTAAATTAGTACAGACAATATGGAGAACAATATGGAGGCTCTCAAACCACTAAAAATAGAACTTCCATATGATCCAGCAATCCCACTGCTGGGTATATATCCAGAAGAAGGGAAATCAGTATACTGAAGAGATATCTGCACTCTCATGTTTATTGCAGCACTATTGAAAATAGTGCTGCAATATAAATACATAATATAAATACATAAATATATATACCATATATAAATACCACATTTATATATGTGTGTATATATAGTATATATGTATATATACCACATTTATATATAGTATATATAATAGTATACATAATATAATAGTATATATACCATATATAAATACCACATTTATATATGTGTGTATATATAGTATATATGTATATATACCACATTTATATATAGTATATATAATAGTATACATAATATAATAGTATATATACCATATATAAATGTGGTATATATACATATATAATAGTATATATATAAAAAAATGTGGTATATACATTCTATATATACCATATATAATACTATATATACCATACATATACTATATATACTATATATACCATATATAATACTATATATACCATACATATACTATATATACTATATATACCATATATAATACTATATATACCATACATATACTATATATACTATATATACCATATATAGTATAGATATCTATATATACTATATATACCATATATAATACTATGTATGCTATACATATACTATATATTGTATATATACCACATTTATATATATGGTGTATATATGGTATATATATATACCACATTTATGTGTAATATATGGTATGTACATACACCACATTTATATATATTATATATACCATATATACACACATATATATACACACTAGAATACTATTCATCCAATAAAAGAATGAAATCATCAGTTATTTGAAGCCACATTTATTAACCTGGAGGACATTACATTAAACAAAGTAAGCCATGCACAGAAAGACAAATATGTTTTCACTCATGTGTGAGCTAAAGAAAATTGACCCTATGGAGATAGGGAGTAAAATGATGGTTACCTATGTTAGAAAGTATAAGGAGAAAGTAATGAAGATAAGTTGGTTATCGAAAACAAAAATACAGTTAGATAAAATACGTTCTAATGTTCAGTGGCATAGTAAAGTGATCATAGTTATCAAAAACATAGTATATTTTAAATTAGCTAAAAGAGAAAATTTGGAATATTCTCAATACAAAACAAGATACATGTTTGAGGTGATGAGTATTCCAATTATCCTGATGTGATCATTACACATCGTATGCATGCATCAAGATAGCATAGATATCCCATAAAGATATTTTATGGATCAGGAATGCATAATAGAGATAAAAAATGCATATGAGGTTTGGCACTAAAAGTTTAGAGCAAGCTTCAAAATGGTGTAATTTTTCACATTTCTTTCAAAAGCTCTGAAGAAAAATAATTGCTTGGAATATTGAATTCTAGAAAACACTATTCTAGAAAACACTATAATAACAGTTACCTTGTTCTAATAAAGTATATAACAATAACAGCAGTAATGACAACCAAACAATTATATAGAAATTTAAAAATGACAGTTACTAATCTAAGCACTTTATGCATATTAATCATCAATACAACCCAGTGAAGTATGTGCTATTATTATTTCCATTTTTGAGATAAGAGAATTTCTTTGCAACAGAAAAAAAAAAAAAAAAAAAAAAACACTGAATCAATACATCACCATCACTGTTCCTTAGTATCTGTGTGCACTAAATCATGGACCTTATCAGTGGTGTGCAACTAAGGCCCTTCATTTAAAGAAGAGAAGGAGACAATCCTTAATTGGAACACTAGTCTACTGGAATACACCAGAAATTTGGGTTGAGGTAATAATGGCGTAAGTAGCTTAAAGATATGCTTAATATTCACAATAGTATTACTGTACATGTGTCAAACAAAAATCATGCTTAAACTGTTAAATAATATTAAAGATAATATGAATTATATCTACACCATTGAGGTATCATACAATAAATATTATGTTATAGGTCTTGTCTGCAACCCTACAATTTGCCATTTGCTTATAAAAAATGTTCTTATGTTAAATTCTAGTAATTGATGTCTTTAAAATGTCTTTAGACTTAACAGACATTGTTACAAACCATAATAATTTATTCCCATAAAAGAAATTCAATAAATATTTTATATTATATCCAGTAAGAACTGTCTTTTCTCTATGCTGCTGCTTATATACAAGCTATTCTCAAAAACTAAAAAGACAGGCCAACCTATTTATCTCTGTAATCAATGGGTTTATAGTCATAAGGTAGTTTGCCATTTCCAAGTAATGCTTAGAAAGAACTAGCTCTTGGGAAATATGTGTTCTCGACCTACAATTCCAGTTATAAATACGACAATACTGGCATAAATTGGTCATATTTCTTAGTAAAATAGACTTTCAGATGTTTAAATTACATATTGATTTGCATAGCAGTTGAATCAGATACCAATTGCTGGCTTGTGTGTTCTAAACTCTGACATTCCTGGTACTTGGCCAGATCTAATCAGTTTACCATTTCCCAAGACTCCAGGTTCCAGAATTTCTTAGTCTATCTTAGTGTGAATTGTCAATCCTTAGGCATATTCTTTGATGTCCAGGCTATTTCATACTGATGCACCTTTGTACTTGTTCTTTTTCCTAGAAATCAGTGTGTGTTTGTGTTTGTGTGTGTTTCTCCTCTCTGTCTCTCTCTTTCTCTCTCTCCCCACTGCCCGCCCCATACCCCTCTTCTCTCTCACTTATATTTATATAAGGAACACCTACTCATCATTTGAGACACTATTATAAACAACATCTCTCTAGATACACTTAAGTATTTCCTTCTTTCCTTTATTCCAAATTAGATAAATAATCTATTTTGGTACCAATCACACTGTTACATTTATTTGTTTGCACATTTGACTCATTGACTAGTCAACAAAATACTTCAAGACAAGTCTTATGCATCATGAAAGCTGTTCCCAGCACAGTGACTGGAACATAGCAGATGTTCAATAAAGTAAAATTAATTAAATAACTTTATAATTTAGTCTACATTTTATCCTATACTAGTTTCTAAATTTTACCTCTTTTGCCCATGAATTATTTTTCCCTGTAGAACATCCAATGTTTATGAACATATTATAAGAATAATTCATTTTTCTCTAAGTTAGTTCATTTTGAAAATACTACATAAATCACCATCAAATCATCCACTTATCAAGTTGTTACCTGGAAAGAAAGAGTAAAACTTATCCAGCTCCCCAAATTTGTAAGTTCCTATAACATTCTGCAGGTATTTCTAGGTTTTTGTAAGTAATCATCCAGTAATTACATTACTCACTTTAATTCTATAGTTATGAAAAAAGATTACATGAATTGTTAGAAATAATTAACTTTTTGAGTTCAAGCTATCCTGTGGGTAATTGAGAGTCCACATTAAGTTACATGTATGTGTTTATATGGGATAGGCTGCTTAAAATATAACTTTATTCTTTCCTATGTTCAGGTTAAAAGACAACTTAGTATTGAAAGTAGACTATATAATTAAGCTATTTGTATATAATTATAATATATAATTATGTATATAATTTATGATAAAGTCAAATAAATCTTATCTAAGAATTATAGTGATGATGATGATGATAAGATTCACTAGCCCACACTGAATTCCTTCTTCAAGTCTGCTTTTCAAACTATGTAATCTTAAATTTTATTCTTCATAAAAATTTCAGGGTACATCTGGCTACTTACTTTTCAGGGTTTTCCACTTCTTCAGTAACAAAGTTGAGGTAAAACCTAAAAATAGATAAATAAATTATAAACTATTAATATATTTTACCATTTTCCAAAGTCTCAAATTTTAAATATTTAACATTGAACCCAGAATTATGAAAACTATAACAATACTTATAGTAAGATGAAAATATCTAACAACTAAATACTCCCATAAAACATTTCTCTATTTAGCCGTATTTGTGGAGTTTTTGTCACATGTCAGAAATAGGCAAGTGGTAAGGCCATAGTCTCAAGGAGCTCATAGTTCATAAAATCTCCCACAGAATAGTGTGATACAGTGCAGATCCAATACTGGAGCAAGCATGTGGGAGCCAGAGGGCAGGTCTAGCCCAACCTGGTAGGTCAAAGGAGGTTTTCTAGAGGAGGCATCACCCAACTTGAACCTTTAAGAATTGCTTTATCTTACCCTGGTTAGGTGGTGTGAGGCCATTCCAGACTGAGAATAGCACACGAGCACAAAAGTGTGGCAGAGGGGTTAGGCACAGGAAAATGAGCACCTGTTTAGTATTCTGCAGTACGAGTGTGACAGAGGGATTACTACAGAAAGAGCCAAACATATGAAGGCAAAGACTTTTCTACCTTTTCGTTGTATATGCTTAGAAAATTTTTGCAAAATAAAAAAATCACATATTCAATATAATCTTCTGTTATCTTATTACTATTAAAAGTAACCTTTTACATAGGTATGCAGGAGCACAGATTCATAGGTACAAATTCTCTAAAATCTAAAATCAATTGGCTGGAATATTAGTCCATCAGCTCTTAACATACTTTAAGTATCTCTCCAGCTAAAACAAAGATGAAGAAACCTGTAGTCAGGCCTCTGAGCCCAAGCCAAGCCATCGTATCCCCTGTGACTTGCACATATATACCCAGATGGCTTGAAGTAACTGAAGAACCACAAAAGAAGTGAAAATGCCCTGCCCTGCCTTAACTGATGACATTCCACCACAAAAGAAGTGAAAATGGCCGGTCCTTGCCTTAAGTGATGACATTACCTTGTGAAAGTCCTTTTCCTGGCTTATCCTGGCTCAAAAAGCTCCCACACTGAGCACCTTGTGACCCCCGCTCCTGCCCTCCAGAGAACAATCCCCCTTTGACTGTAATTTTCCTTTACCTACCCAAATCCTATAAAACGGCCCCACCCCATCTCCCTTCGCTGACTCTCTTTTCGGACTCAGCCCGCCTGTACCCAGGTGATTGAAAGCTTTATTGCTCACACAAAGCCTGTTTGGTGGTCTCTTCACACAGAGGCGCATGACACCTGTCTTGCTCCATCTTTATAAAACCATCTAAATTCACAAGTAGTCAGTTGATGTTCAAGGTTAAAGTGTCTACAATGTTAAGGACTGTTTTAAGTAGAAACAATTGAGGAGCTGACAGAACTGTAACAATAACGGTGATCTAAAAAGTCAGCAGCCAAAGATTTTTTTAATGACTAGAAAATAAGTTTCTATAAATAGAGATTATAGTTACACCATGAAAGCAAGTGACAGTCAGCACTTTGATCTGGAATATGCACTCTAAGAGGGGTTTGATGTGTTTGCTATAAGCCTGAGGCAATGGGAAGTAGCGGAAGAGAAAAGAAAAAAAACACAAGCACAACAAAAAACAAACACCACCACCAATGAAAAACCACAACGCCAAGAAATATTTCTAGGCTTCTCATGTCAAAAATAGCCAGTTCCTTCCTAATAGTTGTTTTAGAAAGTAGTCTTTTCCAACAATGTTAAAGCAAGAAAGAAAATATTTATGAAAAATAGAACAAAATTTCAAATGTTTGCCATACCTCCAGGGAGTAGAGAAAAGGAAAGGACTTGGAGCAGGGTGGTGGGCAGGAAAGAGAAAGCTTCTTGTTTTAGTCCAAACATTCACACATCCTGTGGGAAATCCACCTTTACGTTCTAGTCTCCAGGAATGAGTCCATGATATTCTCTTTGGTTTACAACACTTCAAGGCCTCTAGAGAATGCTCATAAGATCTGTTCCATCTTTTCCATGATTGTGCATAAAAGATACTGCAATGCTAGCAAAGCATTCCAATACCCAACTATGTTAATTATTTTTAAAAGAAGCTGCTTCTTTAGATTAGATTTGACACAATAGTACAAAATAATCCTAGTAAGTGCTTTAGAAAGACTAAATCCATTGAGGATAGGATTTAAAAGGAAGAGAAAAAGACACTGAAAACGATTTTCTATCACACAATTGAAAAAAAAAAGAAAACCCTACCAAGCAATGTTTAGCTTTGGATCAGGATATGGGACTGAGTTCCCCAGGGCCACATCAGGGACTGGCAGATGTATTTCTCTGAATGCAGACCTTGGCAATGTTATTAACATTGTTCTGACCCAACTGTGTGACCTGAGTTAATGATTTCTTTTCCCCTACTCAAGTTTCTGTGAAGTAGCTTTATCATCCTAGAAAGCTTCTGCATTCCTCAGAGACAAAAGCCTCCTCTATTCATATCACCACCCTGGACTTGGTGGTATCTTTTTCTGTGCTAGCAGAGCAAGGTCTCCAGGACAACAATGCTTTTGCTGCTTTTACTTACAGGCTAACAGGCTGGGCGGTAAGCTCTGATGACAATAGCTGTTTTGCTTCTGACTTATTCATTTTCGATGCCCTCACCTTTTTTAGGGGGGCGTCAAATATTGTCACAGCAGCAGCATAGGGAGTGGAGAATCATTTATAGTTCCCCACTGATAATTCTACAACCCAGTCTTGTAATTATATGGAGAAAGGTCAGAAAGGCAGGGATCACATCTGGCAAGTGAATAAATGCCCCTCTCTTTGGAATTATTTTAGGCTCCATTTTGTTTCATTTACATCCAGATAATAACTTTTCCTCTAGAACTCCACACCAAGAGACTATATTTTTTCTAAACACAGCTTCCTTTTTCTAAGACTGATGACCATAGATTAACAGTCAGATTACTTCTGCGTCTTCACAAAGCAGCATTCATGTAGCACAACAACCTGTTATAGAAACACAGTTACTTATCTGTCCCCTACATAAGCCACTTGTATCAGATAACATTCCATTTTAAATCCTGGACTTATTTTCCAATACTGTGATTGAACCCTCAAGGAAATAAAGAAATCAATGGTTTCTTGGTCTTTCATATAGGGAGTAGACATGAGGATTATATGGGTAAAAGTATTAAAAAAGGTTCATGTAAACCCCTTTTACCTTGTAATCAGAGTAACATTTTGGGGTCAGCATCAATAAAGTTAAATATTAATACGATAATTCAAAATGAAAAGGGTCTTCATCCATGGAGAAATTCATCGGCCCTCAAAAGCCTACATAAGCAGAGAAATTTTGCTCTACATAAAGCAAGTGACCTGAATTTTTAGTTCTGGCTATTAGAAAAGTAAGGAGGGCAAAAGAATATTTTAAGATTGCATGGGAACAGATCTATGGTACTCGCAGGCAAAAGAAATTTCATTCAACAGAATTAATCAAATCTCCCTTGTGACTATCTTCACATTCCACACTCGTGATTGCATCTTGCCCGGCTCCCAACACTTGGCTGTAGCTGAAAGCTTTCTCTACCTCCCTGCTTTGCTCTGGTGTCTCCCAGTGACCCTCCCAGTAGCTTGGCTTCAGCCCCAGGGCACAGAGCTCTGATCCAGGCTGAATAGCCATAGAACAGTTGATTCTGCTCTAACCCTGTGATCACGCTCAGTTCTTTTGATGTCTAGCATCACATTGTGCTTGGGACAAAAGCAAAAAGACTTCAAAAATATTGAGTGATTCTAAACTAATGCTTACATATAATGGGTATAAAAATATTCTGGGAATATACAAATATTTTACACTGATCTCCTTAGAGCTATAATCTTCTAACAATCTTCAAACGTATTTTGCCTCACAGGCCATGTTAAGATTTTAACTTCCCATACTCCCTAATTATCCTCTAATACTATATTTTCATAATTCAATGAGATTAATAGGGTAAACACTCCATTCATGTTGAAATATATCTATGTTCCGCGCATTGGCTAGAAGGTAAGATCTTAAAAACTAAAGAAACAAAAGAAATTATATTTGTGTTGGAAATGCATTCATATAATTTTTGAGCTAGTGTAGTTTCCTAATATTACACCATTCTCACAGCTAAAGCTGTATAACAATGAGATTTATAGGCAATTTAAAAATAAATATTGCCATGATTTACTCCAAAACAATGAAATTTAATCTTACTATAATGATTTTGATAATTAAATAATACCGTGTAGGTTTTCTTGCAACCATCATCTAAACTAAATCTTACAAGGTCAATAAAATTTACTGAAGAAAAAGTCCCACTCTTATCCATGATTACTGGTTTTCAAGTATCTGAACAAACAAGGTACAAGTACAAAGTTTTAATGCCTTAACTAGAAAGGTAGGTATCACAGGTGGACATACATCAAAGGAAATATATCTGTGGCATCATGATTTTAATCATCTTTATTTTTTAAATTTTCAGATGTTGGGGAAATTTTAAGGGACATGTAAGGTCCTTTTAAATGTAGACTGTCTAGCAGAGTTGACTGCATTATCTTGGTTTCTCTTTCTCTGCCTTTAGATGACCATTACCTTCTGGGAATGTCATACTTATTTTTACATCTGAGTTACTTCTCTCATGAGAAGCTGGAAAAAAAAAATCAATTAATCACTATTTGTAAATACCCTTGGAGCTTTAGCTGAAAGGCCTTTTGACAAGCGAAGTATTATTCTCTAGTACCTTACGGCACTATTATGTCCTTACTGGTACATACTTATAAGTAATTTTTATTGGATCTTAAGACCCAGCATTTGTTTGTTTTTTATGACATCAGGCTAAATCTAGCAGTCTTGACTGGAAACCTGTTATGTTTCTAGTTGTCATGTGCAAAGTAATTGGCCTGGTGGAGGGGACAATACCTTATTACTATTATGTGGATTATGCCTATTCACATTTGCCTGGCACCTTGGTTGGCACTTAATATGAGTGCATAATGGGATTAATGAACTACATAAACCACCAGATCTGGAGCTATCGACTTACCAGCCAGCATATGCGTACATTCCATAATAAAAAGCCAGTGGCAACCGCGTAATACTTGAATCTCTTCCTGAAAAGGCGTCTTTAAAGTTCTGTGTTTGACCTATAATTAGAATAGACTGATTTTAGGATTTTTCAAAGAATTGGTTCTTATTCATTCTTAACCAGAAACATGGGGGTGTGGAGAACCATACTGTTTTAAGTCTAGATTTCTTACTCTCTGTTGATTACCATCTTTATCAATACTGTACCCATTCTACAGAAGGGGTTCCAAAAGTATATTGATCATTAACACTATTTCACATTTCTCTTTTAATAAATGTATAACAAAGATGAAAATATCATTGAAAAACAATCCTCTGTTTGAGGATGCCTCTGTTGTGACCATAAAAGAAGACTAAAGGGTTTTCTGTAAATTATAATCTTTATGAATACAATAGAATTCTTAAAAATGAAGATAATGTTTTGCTTGGCAAAAAAATGTGCAGAAGTATCCAAGGTTCTACCCTTAATAAGGAGATGGAAATAAATCCCAGGACTCCTTTCCTACACAATTTACCTTTCTGCTTTCTGTTTATTCCATGTTGTCCATTAGAGGCCTACCATCTAGAACAGAAGTTGGAAAACCCTGGACCATGTCTGCCAACCCAAACTGCAAGCCTTTTTTTTTTTCTTTTTTTCTTTTTCTTTTTTTATTATACTTTAAGTTCTAGGGTACATGTTCACAATGTGCAGGTTTGTTACATATGTATACATGTGCCATGTTGGTGTGCTGCACCCATCAACTCGTCAGCACCCATCAACTCGTCATTTACATCAGGTATAACTCCCAATGCCATCCTTCCCCTCTTCCCCCCGCCTTTTTTTTTTTTTTTTTTTTTTTGTGAGATGGAGTCTCACTCTGTGGCCCAGGCTGGAATGCAGTGGCACGATCTCGGCTCACTGCAACCTCCACCTCTCGGGTTCAAACGATTCTCCAGCCTCAGCCTCCTGAGTAGCTAGGATTATGGGCATGCGCCACCATGCCCAACTAAGTTTTGTATTTTTAGTAGAGATGGGGTTTCACCATGTTGGTCAGGCTTGTCTAGAACTCCTGACCTACGGATCTGCCCGCCTCAGCCTCCCAAAGTGCTAGGTTTACAGGCGTGAGTCACCGCGTCCAGCCACAAGCCTTTCTTGTAGATAAAGCTTTCTTTATCTATAAGTTAAAAATGCCTATTCATGAAGTACTGCCCATTCATGAAGTATTGCCTATGGCTGATTTCAGCCTATAATGGCAGAGTTGAGACCATACAGTTTGAAAAATTGAAAATATTTACTATCTTTTCCTTTACAGAGAAAGTGCACTCACCCTATGACCCTGTCCTAGAGAATGACATTTTTTTTCCTAGAAATATTGAAAAAATATTATAAAGAATTCTAAAATAAATAGGTTTCAATAAATTTTGCAGCAACATGTGAATTGAACACTTTTATTCATCACTTTTTTCTCTATTTTGTGAATCACAATGGAACTTTTTCTTTTATATCTTTTGAATAGTTTTAAAAGTCAGAAATTCAGATTCACTTTAGTCAGTCAATATTCAAGCTTAAGCGGAAAAAATGTTTCTACTACCCAAAGAAAATATCAAATGAGATTATCCAAATAGGAAGTGAGACTTTGTTTTAAAATAAAACTTCATGTAAATAAACATAAGGGGGACAGGAGATGGATGATGTGTATGAGGCACTCTCTCTTCCAAGTCAAATCTCAGTTTTTCCTGCATTCATTGCCCAGCCACAACTTATATATAAATATAATATGTGTGAGTATGAAGACCAAAAGTGGAGAATGTTGAGTTACATACTAAACAATTTTTCCGTCAAAGTAAATGATTCCCAAACATAGCTCACTTTTTAAATGATACGATAAATTCAGAAATGCCCATTTTACTAAGACATCGTTGTGTCCTTCCAGAAGAAAAATATAAGTAGTGTAATTAAGAGAAAAGCATCTGTTGAATATTCTTTTATCATAATCTGTGGTCTCTTTGGCATAAAGGCACAATATTTCTAAGAGTACAGCACCAAATAATCAATAAGAAAAGCCAAATTCTATAAAGACTGGGTCACAAGCACAGATCTTCAAAAGTGCCATTTTGAGAATATTACAAAAGAGAGGTATTTTGATTCTAGAATTCAGGAATATTTTGGCTATATAACAGAGGTCTCATGAAGATTAAAGTCAATATTCAAAGGAAAGTTCAACAAACCCTCATAAGTGAATACATTACATACAACTACTTTCAGGATATGATTAGAATAGAAATAAAAGCACAATCTGTATTAACAAAGTCTCTTACTAGAGTTTCAGATTAATGTGAAAAATGTGCGATCATGTGAGAGATAAAGAAAATCACAATTTTATAGTAATCGAGCAAATATACCTGCTAACAATGGTCTCTAAATGTTAACATTTACATTAAATGTGGTAATATTCTCAGGGAATTTCTCTGTTGAGTGAGATCTCTGAATAAGCCTGTCACATTAAGCATTGATATCATAATTATTGATTAAAATATCTCTGTATGGGAGCCACCCAAAAAACCTCAAGATATATCATGACCTCTGCTCTCAAGGAGTTTGTAATACAGCAACATTTGAGCAACCAAACCCTTCCTCATATACATATATAAATACCCAGTAAAAAAGGAATATAGTCTATAATGCTACCTATAGTGTCTTACATTACACCAAAAAGAAAAAGAAAGAAAATATATCTTAGTTTCAAGGGATAGCATATAATCTTTTGGAATCTAAACTAGTATTAAAGAACAGCCAATGACCCAGAGATTCTGCACTTTTCAAATACTGAAGAAACTCCTTACAGAAGACTGAAGAGTTAGCTCAGAAAAATAAAGCACTAACAAAACAGATTATTATGCCTACATTCCTAATGAATAAGATAGAAGTGAGCAGGCTAGCTCTGTGGAGGCCAAGGTGTATTAGAAGAGCAAGCTCCTGTCTTCTCTTCAGAGCAAGCTCTAATGGTCAAAATCTACATTGTGTTTATTCTGCATTGGCTGCGGTTGCCGGATTTCATAAAAGCATTTCCGCCAGCAGAGCTCTAAAATCTCCCGTTAGGCTTATTAAATGGGCAACAACAGCTCCCTTTCCCAGCTGCAGAGTAGCGGATCTTTCAGTGTTTGTCATTGTTTAATGCTTCTACCAACAGTGATGATTTTACCAAAAGTTGGCATTTCCTTTTGCCTGGTGCAATTCTTCTGCAACATCATTAAATTTCTCTATAAATTCCCTTTCTTGGAACAGACAATATCAATGTAAACATTAAATACTTAACATGCCCAAGTTATGTCATTCCTTTACAATCTCTTCTCACTTTCTTATTTCCTGCTATATTCCTGTTGCTAATTAAATAACACATGTGAATCTCTGTCCTCCAACAATTTCCACTGAATTCAAGCAACTGCACGTGCCTTCTTTCCTAAAACAACTAAAACTCTAAATATCACCTCTCAACTTCTTTTTTTAAATTAAATGTTAAACTCTATAAAGCGAGTAATCACAGAAATGCAAATTTTATATTAAAAATAATGTAACAATAAAAATTAAGTTTTTACAACTATTTTAGTGTGATATAATTTTGGTGTTTAGGAATGCTGTTCCGATATTGACTCCTCTTTTGAGGATACCATTCTCAATTTAAAAGGAATAATAACCAGAAAGTCAAAGAATTATTGATCATCTTTTATTATTTTCCAGATACCTTTTTCTCTTTGATTTTTATTACTATTATTAGACAATTTTAAAGTAAAAAAAAAAAGACATATTTATCTGTAATTAAAACTAAATGGCAGGTTTTTTTTTCCACTTTGAGTTTTCACTTCAAACCATTACACCTAGAAAATTCACTGATGCCTTATTTTGTTGCTTGGCCCAGTCTTAATCCTCTTTCTGCCATTCAACTGTAAAAACCAACTCACTCACAATGTAGCAGCCGTTCAAATCAATTAGATGACAATATAGACTTTAAGTTCCACAAGCAGAGACTAATTAAGGATTCTGCTAGTACAAGCAAAAGTTAGTGTTAAAAAAGACCAAAAGCAGATAAGTATTTTAAAAAGCATTTACTTCAGTCCATACCTTTAATTAGCTGCATAACTCCAGGGACTATAATTATCAGAATTGCTGTGAGCTTGCAAAAGGTTAAGAAAATCTGGATCCGGGCGCTCCAGCTGACACTCATGCTATTTAGGACCATCACTACAGCTGCAAACAAATAGATGAAGTTACAAAAAGGTGAATCCTCAACGGCACAAAGACATTTTAGGTCCTTGTTACTCAAAGGGCAATCTATGAGGCAGCAGTGTTGACATTGCTGTTTTAGGAATGCAGAATCCCAGGCCCTTCCCCAGACCTAATGAATACAAATCTACATTTCAACAGCTTCTCCAGCTGGTTTCTATACACATTAAAGTTTGAGAAATGTGGATAAAACCTCTGGACAATACGAATTCTTCTCTTGTTCTTTGTATGTAAGAGTGGGCATATATTGTAGTACTCTGACAATCCTATAAAAATGTCTTCTAACCAAACCCTCATCCAATCAGATGGCTGAATTTGACTCTCTAGCTTGATGTGGCAACTCTTTTCTGTCTCCATGACGGTATGCCTGCCACTGTGGATCACACTCAAGAAAGGGCAAGACATGTAGAAGTTGGTTCAGATCTTATTTTTCATTCTCAGGACTAGCCTCAGGCAGCACTTTTCTTTTGGTTTTCTTCTTTCTAATTAGCATGTCAAGGGGCGACTTTCAACCTACTGTACAAGAATCATTTTTCAAGATATATTTTAGGGCTTGAGCACAATATTCTAAGTGATGAGTGCAAAAGACTAACCAGTCTAGGATGCACATTAGTTTCAAGCCAGCAGAATTTTTCATTCTTACTGATGCTATCCACAATTTCCCAAGCAGCAATAACTATTCACCTTCGACACCTTGTGGACCATGAAAACCTCAAGGATAGAGCAAGGGTTATTCATCGCTGTATTGCTAGTATCCAGCTCCATGCCTGGCCTGGGTAGCTTAATACATTTTTGTTGAATGAATGAACTGGGTCCTCAGTCAGAAAATCTAAGGCACAAGGGGAATGGTGATGCTCTAAGACCTTTCTCCCCTACTCTGCTGGGATGACTGAGGTTATTCTAGACAGTGGATTTCAACTTTATACTCTTTCCACAACCTTATGCTCAGTTTTAACAACCCAAAACATTACTTTATTCCTGACATTTACAGTTATTAACTATAACCTTTATATTTATAAAGGTATATTCTCCCTAAACAGATATTAAAAATGTAAAGATAGTTCTCAAAGAAACAAAACTCCTACAGAATTCTTATTATTCAAATTGCAATTGGAAGTTTTCTTATGTATAGTAATGAGTCCGCCTCACAGTTTTCATTGCCTAATATAGTTACTAGCTCACTTCAGAATTTAACAATCAATGCAAATGTTAGCAACACATAATCTTTAATGGCAAAAAAATGGAAATAGCCTAGACCTCCTAAAGGAAGGCTAATTAAGGTATATCATTTTAATAGTTTATATGTAGCCACTTAAAATTATGAGGCAGTTAAATATTTATTATAAGAAAGGATATTCATGACATATTACTGATCAATACAGCAAGTTAGAGAGATGGATGGAAAGAGGAAGGAAGGAGGAAAGGAAGGAGGGGAGGCAGAGAGGGAGGGAGGGAGGGAGGGAGGGAGGAAGGAAGGAAGGAAGGAAGGAAGGAAGGAGTAATAGAAAGATCTGGAAACATATTTACCAAAACATCAACAGCAGGTGTTTATAGGAATACTAAATAATTTTCAGGTTTTAAAATTTATTTTTAGGAATAGTTTAATAAATTTTATAATGAATATATACCTTTTTGGTGACTATAGTTTCAAATACTGAATTGTATATTTGAAATATACTTAAATGTTCTCACCACAAAACAAAACAAAAAAAGAGGGGTAACTAAATGATATGATAGATGTGTTAACTCACTTGATTGTGATAATCATTTCACAATATATATATAAATAAAATCATTACATTGTACACCTTAAAATTACAATTTTATTTGTCATATGTACCTCAATAAAGCTGAAAATTTTAAAAAGTAAATGAAGCGATAAAATACATTTTGTTTTTGGAAAAAACTCCAAGATGGGAAAAATAAGGGACCAGAAGATCCCATACCAAGTGAAATAGGGGGTTACTAATGAAGAAATATTTCAAAGGAGTAATTATGAGAATGACCAAAAAGGCCAAACCCCTGAATAAGCTACAGGGGCATCTAAGGGGGCATATTTCATCTGTGCTGGAAGTTGAAAACATGAAGGGATAGACAGGTCTGTCGTCAATCACAAAGTGCATTATTTTATCAGAGGAATCACAAAAATAAAGTTATTTATGTCTCCCCAACATAAGGCACTTACATATGGAAAATGTTAGTGTAACTCTGCTCCCCACTCCATCATCCAGTGGTTCCTTTCCTTTTCTATGCAAATGACTGTGCGATGAGTCATTATACGATAATGACTATTGTTTTAATTAAGGAGATTCAACGTTGGTGTAACAGTGAAAAAACTGTCTCATGTGGCCACCAGCAACAAAAGGGCAGTGTTTTCTTTCAAATAGGGCTCCTAAAACCCAAAGCAGTCTGTATTTATGAAAGTTCTTTCCGCAGTAGAAAAGAACTGTTACATAGAGAGAAAGAGAGAAAAAGAAAGGAGAGGAAAGGAGAAAGATAAAAAGAAAAAGAGTCAGGCAAGGAGGAAGGAAGGAGAGAGAGTGAGACATTCTTATTTTTGGAACAACTAGCCATCTATATGTTTGAAAATAAGAAAGAGGTTTTGTTACCTTTTTTTTTTTTTTTTTTTGAGACGGGGTCTCGCTCTGTCGCCCAGGCTGGAGTGCAGTGGCCGGATCTCGGCTCACTGCAAGCTCCGCCTCCCGGGTTTACGCCATTCTCCTGCCTCAGGCTCCCGAGTAGCTGGGACTACAGGCGCCCGCCACCTCGCCCGGCTAGTTTTTTGTATTTTTTAGTAGAGACGGGGTTTCACCGGGTTTGCCAGGATGGTCTCGATCTCCTGACCTTGTGATCCGCCCGTCTCGGCCTCCCAAAGTGCTGGGATTACAGGCTTGAGCCACCGCGCCCGGCCGGTTTTGTTACTTTCATAAAGAGTATAAGTACCTAATGCCTATTGAAATATTAAAAAAAAAAAAACAAAAAAAAAACAAACCCTGGGTATTTGGGATTTTAAAAAACACTTTGTAAAGTTTTCTTAGGCAAATGGAAGACATAATTCAACAGATACTATGAATTGATCATCTCATCCTGCTTTCCTCTCAGATAGCTTAACAAAAATTCTCATTAAGATGCTAGTACACTGCTAGTGGGAATGTAAATCACTATAGCCACTATAAAAAACAGTATGGAAGTGCCTTAAACAACTAAAAATAAATCTGTCATATGATCCAGCAATCCCATTGTTGGGTACTTGATTGTGGTGATAGTTTCACAAGGGAATACATACATCACACTTTATCAAACTGTACATTTAAAGCATGTATGGCTTATTGTATGTCAATTATACCTCAATAAAATTTTTAAGAAAAAAAAAGATGAATTTTTTTCAAAGAGTTCTCAAAGCCCTGCTTTATCTGAGCATCCAGACATTGTACTCATTATTTGGTACACCAAATTCCAGCTGAGATGCACCTGTACTACCCTGAAGGCACAGCTTAACAAGTAACAAGGCAGCCAGTGAGAGGCACAGTGAAGCTTCTCCAGTGGCTATAACTGCCGTTTCATCATGTGTCTTTACAGTGAAATTTATGTCTATATATGTTGCTTATCCAACAATATCGAAAAGGGATTTGGGATTCACTAAACGCAAGAGCTTTCTGAGTTTCTGAAACAAATAATATGTAGTTTTAAAAAATACTACCTGCCCAAACTGCAATAATGAAAGAAATCTGAGCCAGTTCTCTAGTCCTAGTTTTACTTCCTTTGAATAACAATTTGCTAATTTCACACATGAGGAAATAATTATATCAGTTTGGGCATTTTTTGTGTGCTCGCCTTAAATTTTACCAGAATAAAAATACAGGGACATATAGTTTTTATTTACTTATTTATGATGCAGTTTCCTAACAACTGAAATGTGGCAATGGAAGCTATATCTATAAATCCTGGAGATAAGAAATACATATTTGAAGGAAGCTATATTGGAAGAGGATGTTTAGGGGAATGTTAAGGACTAAAGCTGTGATTTAAGGACTGGCAAGTAGTTCTCTCTGCACTGTGTAATTCAAGTCTATCTTTGGGTTTTGAAGAGTGAGATTACAGAGTCTGGATATATTGGGTTTTCTCCCAGGTTCAGGTTCTTCTTGGCTTCTGAATTCTGAGTACTTTGTGCTAAACTGATAAAATATATGGATACTGTGTAAGTGTGTTACACGTTGAGATAAAGCGGGTTGTTTCACTGCTGTTTTGTAATGGCTGCCTGGATTCCTTTTATCTTTTTATTAGCATTCATCTCCTGGATGCATTAATTTTAGAGAAGATATGTAGCAACAAACACTTTAAAAAGCAGAGTGACAGTTTACATCTAGGATCTCACTATTGGGAATAAAAATGTTAAGCAATATATAAATATAAACTATTATTTCATGGCAGACATTCTACAAACACTTTACATGAATAATGTTATTTAATCCTCATATCTCTATGACATAGTCATTTTATCGACCTTATTTTTCAGATGAGCAGCTGAGACTCAAGATATTATTTAACTTGCTTATGTTTGCATAGGTAGTAACAGTGAAGGTGAGTCTGGAGCCCAGGTAATCTAACTCTGGAGCCCACACTTTTAATTAGTTCCCAGGTAACAATGAGGAAGTAGTTCAAAAGACATACATGATTCCATTAGTGTACCTAGTTCTTTTAAACTCACGATGGCTCTTTCTCTCTGCAAAATTTCATATTTATGTTAGCTGGGATTTCAGGACCCTTTGTTTCCACATTTTACTTGTCATCCTCCGAAAGTATATGATAGTTGTTCTGCAGTACTTTAATATTTTAATACTATGTATATTTACCTAAGAATTGGTGGTGCTGGTAATTTACTTATGGTAGAAAAGAAGTAGGTATAGCCAGACTTCAAAGATGTAAACAGAGCCACTTCATATGCTATATTTGAAGTGTTAACACAGAAATGGTCCTAGATTTTCTTTTATGTAATTTAATGGTGCCAGATAGATTTCAAAAAGAATATAAAGTAATACATTTGTAGAACTGGCTAACTTTTCTCACAATACAATCAAAAATGTTATTTTTGTTTGTTCCTCCCAATTACTTCAAAAGTTTGAGAATTAGGATGGGGCTCTTAACTCATCTTTATTTTGTATAGATAAAATAAATTAGCAAGGAAATTGGCATTCAACAATTGATGGTGTTAGGGATGGATCTGGGACTAGATCTCATATCTTAAGGAGAATATTTTTATCATAATATTCTGATATTCAAGTGTATCATTATAAAGGGTTCAATTTCAGGAAAACAGAACAGATAAATATTTTAAATATTGAGCACACTTCAATGCTTATTGAATCTATAAAAGCAGTGAAAATTCATGAACTTCTACAGAAGGTAAAGAAAGTAATTACAGGTCGGGTGCGGTGGCTCACGCCTGTAATCCTAGCACTTTGCGAGGCCAAGGCGGGCGGATCATGAGGTCGGGAGATCGAGACCATTCTGGCTAACATGGTGAAACTCCGTCTCTACTAAAAATGCAAAAAAATTAGCCGGGCGTGGTGGCGGGCGCCTGTGGTCCCAGCTACTCAGGAGGCTGAGGCCAGAGAATCACTTGAACCTGGGAGGAGGAGGTTGCAGTGAGCCAAGATCCCACCACTACACTCCAGCCTGGGTGACAAAGGGGGACTCTGTCTCAAAAAAAAAAAAAAAAAAAAAGAAAGAAAGAAAGTAATTACAATATTGGGCTATAAGAGAGCAGCCAAATGTGAATCTATAAGATTTTCCATATAAACTTCCATGCACTTGACATGTTTACTGGAATGGATAAAATTTGTATAAGCAAAAGCTTTTTTATCTTCATTAAATTTGACAGAAATGAAATACAGTACTTAAAAAAATGGGGGTGAATTAGTATTTACTTAACCCCCCACCCTTATCCCATTATCATCTCTCAAATGGTTGGCTAACATTTCACAAAATTTGATATTCTTTTTTTCTATGATGTAGCAAGACCCTTCATGTTTGCCCTTTTTCTATGCTTAACTAGAGATTTCAAATGACCACAAACTGTTTCCTTCCCCAAGGTTCACAGGGGAGCAATTCATGCAATTAAACTCTATTTTCTACATCTTGGTAACCTTCCACCCCTAACAGGTAGAAAATCACCTAGACTCACTTTGAAGAAAGCAGGATGTGAGAGATTTGCCCCTAGACAAATTTCTCCTTCTCTATCTCCATCTCCACCCCCTGTTGCTCCATTAAAGCTAAATTTTTCTTAAAGACAGTTTGACTTTCCCAATTAGGGCATCGATTTACATTACCTACCACTGAATGATAAGGATATCCAGTTTTCTTTTTAATTGTTGCTGATTATGGAAATACATTTCTTTCTCAGAATTTCAAGCTTGCAAAAGGAACATCAAAATTTAAAAATGAATGTAATAACTCATGGCAAAAATAGAAGGAAATGTCTGGGTTCATCTAAGATTTATTCAGGCTCCTTGTTAACTATTCCATCACCAATGTCTACTACAGAGGTTTTGTAAATCTCAACATGGTTATCCTTTCCTAGAACTGTTTTAATGTTTAGTTTGAGCAGTTTTCATTTAATCCTCTGAAATACTAATTTTCCCTTTAAAATGTTTAATTAAATTGGGATAAACAAGAAGAGAGTTATCTAGACTTATAAAAACATAAATATAGCATTATTATTAATGTAATTTTAACTCCAAAGTGAGTAAAGTTTGTGAATTTATAAATGTTTACATGCAATCTACTTAGTCTTCTGGTTATGGCTTTTAATTGATAACTATTATTATTAATTTACAGAGCTCTCAAAAATGCCACCCCTGCTCTTCTCTTTTTTAAAAATAATATTTGTGATATGATTCTGCCTCAGTCATTCGAGGAACAAGAAAATGGTGAATATAACAATGGCTGTTAGTCCAATCCCTTAGTGGAACAGTGGACTTATCAAGAACATTCTATAGACAAGGCACTCCGTTAATGGTCTTAAAAATCTAACTTTGATCATGTCTTTTGCAGGAAGATGGATGGAGCTAGAGGTCATTATCCTTAGCAAACTAACACAGGAACAGAAAACCAAATGCTGCATGTTTTCATGTACAAAATGGAGCTAAATGATGACAAATCATGAACACAAAGGGAAACAACAGTCACTGGGCCTACTTGAGGGTGTTTGGAAGGAGGGAGAGAATCAGAAAAAAATAACTTGGGTGCTAGGTTTAGAACCTGGGTGACGAGACAATCTGTACCACAAACCCCCATGACATGAGTTTACCTATGTCACAAACTGCGCATGTACCCCTGAACTCAAAATAAAAGCTAAAGAAAGAAAAAAGAAAATATAATGAAAAAGAATCTGACCTAAACAAAAAAATCTGGCTTAGTTTCATCTTCCTTCAGCCATTCAAGAAATTAATAGATTATTTTTTCACAGGCATTTTCCTGTGAAATAAAATTGGGGCTTAAACAGGTTTAAAACTTAGCACAAGATCACAACACTAAGAATTGTAACACCAAGTTTCAATTCCAGGTTGTTTGCCTCCAAAGCCTAAACTGTAACCACTATGCTAAAATGGTTCAACCCACAAAAACTTAGACTGCTAGATCTGAACATAAGACGAAGCACACTCTATTGCATTTTTATCATTTTCCCACTGCCTGGAAATATATCGAAGATGTCTAATCCTCCAAGTTTAACAAGTAAACAGACGATAGACTTTTCTGCTGGAGAAAAAAATTCTTAGACTTCTCAGAAAATCAAGTCAACAAATACTTATTGAGCACCAACAACATGCTAGGAGCTAAATGAGGGGCTGGAAATGCAGCAATGAATAGGTCTCTAGTCTCATGGAACTTCAAATGATGTTTTACTAAAAGTATAAATAGCTACCATTTTTATTGTGTTCTTAATAAATTAAATAAAATAATGCCTTTGCTGCAAGTAACATGGATGGAACTGGAAGTCACTATTTTAAGTGGAATTAAAGAAAAAGAAAGTCAAATACCATATGTTCTCACTTATAAGTGGGAGCTAAATAATGTATACACATAGACATAGAGTGTATAATAATAGACATTGGAGACTCAGAGAGATGAGAGGGTAGGAGGAGGATGAGGGATGAAAATTACCTAATTTCTACAATGTACACTATTTGGGTGATGGTTACACTAAAAGCCCAGACTCCACCACTACACAATATATCCATGTAACACAACTGCATTGTACCCACTAAATCTATTTTTTAAATTTTAATTTAAAAAAAAATGAATTACAGGCAATAAGTAAATTACAGGCAATATCTGAGGCATTGTCCCACTGAAACATCTTAGCCACACAAACTAAAAATTCTTCCATGATTATGCAATTCAGTTAGTGTAGCTTTCTCTTTATAAGTAGCTAAAACTCGGTTAAATGTGATCATATTGATTAAGACAGTGATTCAAATGGCACCCAGAATTAAGTTATCCTTTCCCATATTTAAGGATTTAGTACCTGGCATCTTTTGGGGAATTAGAGTCATATATGGCTTCATATCACTCATGTAATTTTGTTCATGTTCTTTTTGTTTCTTTTTTAAATCAATGAATATTTGTGCCCATTGATAAAAAATGAACAACTTCTCATTTTGGAGACCATAAAGAAATCTAGTTGGAAAACATTATTAATAATCAATCTTGAAAGAAAACTCTTTTCATGACCAACAACAGGCAGCTAACATTATAACACTGGGAGTGACAGCTGCTAACACTACAAAATGTATAAACACAACTTACACACCCACTACATAAAGGTAACTCCACGAATACACATGAGATATAATTCAATATATAGCTAATTTCCAATTAAATAATCTCTAAAATAATTGGGGTTTCCTCTTTAAAAGTCTTGTTCATGTATAACCAACTTAATATTTTACTAGTAAGGTGATTTTTACTATTTAAAAAGATTAGCCATCATATCTATTGGCCAAATACAAAACTGGCATGGAATACAATATTGGATGTCACTCCAAATCCTTCCAGCAGAAATTTGGAACTGTAAGCAAGAAGAACATGATGTGAGAGGCAACCCCACAATGCAAAAAGTCTAAAGACACCTTGTATTCAATCATTTTTGTGTTGTTTCTTCCTTTTTTACATATATAGCTATAATACTCACTTAAGCCCACAGCTGTAATGAGCTTGATCGCAAGTTCAGGGATTTCACATTGAATAAAAAATGGTTCCAGAATGTAGCGTCCAAATGCCAAGGATATCACAGCTGTAGCTGCAGGGCTAAAAAAAAAATGTATATATTTAGATTAACCACGGGGGGAAAATAGCATTTTTATTAAATTTAATTTCATTAGATTTTTCTACCTTGAGTGTATTTAGCATATGCAACATGTTAAATATGAAAGTCTATAGTTTTCAGAATTCCATACTTGATTAGGTTGTCATAGACATTCCAAATGAAATATTTCCTGTAACATTGGTGGCTAGTTTTTAAAATTCACATATTCTTGGGAACAAGGGTAAGTACTACCAACTTTTCCCCTGCTCTCCCATATTTGACTTTTCCTTCAAAATCCGGCTTATTACATGAGATCTTGACAGAGCTAGGCTTACAGGAAGCCACCTTCTTTCTCAAAAAGTCAGTAAATAAACTTCAGCCATATTATGAATTAGTTAATGCCATACAGATCTAATGTGTCAAGGCATAGTCTAAAGAATGAACACAATACTCAACCTAAAAAATTAGTATTAAGTATTCTCTGGAAATACATGCCTAAATACTTGATGTTGTTTTACTCTTATTTTTTCTGTACACACAAAAACTCAAAGTCAAGTGATTATTCTTACTCCTATAGTAACAATCAGATATAAAGTATAAATTTAAAAATAATATATTTATTATAATCTTATATAATTAAGTAAATATAAATGGGACAAGAATATGAAATAAATTCAAGTATATAGAAATATAGGTAATACATCTTTCTATTTTAATTCTTCAAATATTTTTATGAGAAAATTGCACAGACCTTTTCATTTTAGATGTATGTATATATGAATGCATATTTTTTCCATAAACATGCAAGTCTGTACAATTATCTAATTTCTTTTTTTTTTTTTTTTTCTGAAATGGAGTCTCACTCTGTTGCCTAGACTGGAGTGTAGCGGCACGATCTCAGCTCACTGTAACCTCCGCCTCCCGTGTTCAAGCAATTCTCCTGCCTCAGCCTCCTGAGTAGCTGGGATTACAGGCACAAGCCACCATGCCTGGCTAATTTTTTGTATTTTTAGTACAGACGGGGTCTCACCATATTGGTCAGGCTGGTCTTGAACTCCTGACCTGGTGATCCACCTGCCTCAGCCTCCCAAAGTGCTGGGATTACAGCCATGAGTCACCGCGCCCCCTGGCAATTATCTAATTTCTTATGTCAAACTTCCTTTTTAGCTTCTCTTTCTTCTCGTAGTTACCCAACATTCATGCCTGATCCATAGATTATCAGAAAACCAACCACCATTACATGTTGTCAACTTTGGCTGGCTGATACTAGAGAGCAGCATAAGGTTTTTGATTTTCTTCTTTTCCTAGACACCCTCCCATCTTCCCCAAACAAAACTGTTTATCCTATTCTCCATCATTTATACAATTTTTGATGTATAATTTAAAATCTGATCATGTCATTTTAGTGCTTTCAAAATATGTTCAGGAAATGCAAAACTCCTTCACATTGCATTCAAGGCTCCATCTGGTCTAAGCTCTCCTTACTTCTTCAGTTAGCTTCCTCCCACTACAAGGATATGAATCTTCTCTGCCTGCAGCCTCTGCAACTCATTGACTATGTTATAAACTTCAGATCTTGGTTCAATTTTCCTTTGCCAGGGAAAGCTTCTCCAACCTCTGACTGGGCCAGATCTCTTGGAGTATATTCATACTGAAGTCCTTGGCCTGTCTTCCACAGTGCTTATCACAGTAGCAATTTTATATTTACCTATGTGATTTCTCAACTGATAATGATTTCCTCCCACTTGACTCGGAGCTCTAAGGGTACAAAATCGTATCTATCTTAACCACAATTTTATCTCCAGTGTTTAGCGCAGTGTCTAACATATAGTAGAAACCCAATATATATTAAATATATAGTGAACACGCAAATTCGGTTTAATGACCCCTGTGTGTACGGATAGGTAATATTTCTCTCCTTGAAATCTGTGTTTTACAGATTATTTCTGGCAATACGAACTTAATCTAAAGGTATAATTTTAATGTGAAGTACTTAGGAACTATGGGTATTAGTAAAAGAAGAGAAATGTTTAAATACTTAGACATCTTGTCCCTCCTCATGATATTTGTTATCCTACATATTTAAAAGGCCAACTCAGCAAAATCAGTATGTTATGACAAAGAGATACATAAGCATATTTTAAATCTTCTAGAATACAAAGGTACTTTCCTCTGTCCACAGACACACACACACACACACACACACACACACAGAGAAAAGTAGTTTTTTTTTTCTTTTTAATTAAAGTAATAAGTGATTATCAGCTACCTGGGAGCAGAAATCATGACTGATTTCACTTTAGATCTCTTTTTATTGTCATTTACCATTCAGTGGCAGATTGTGGAATAAATAAATTAATAGATGAATATTTTATCTGTGCTACCGTAAGATATAAGCTATGTTTATATGGAATGATCGTGTTCATCATAATGCCAAGCAATGAGCCAAAGTTACACACTAATACATGGCTGAAGATGGAGTCAAGTCCAACTGTAGTAAGCTCCAAAGCCCACCAGCCTGACAGGTCAGCAGTGTAAATAAGGAGTACATGTATTTGAATGCTGAGTATGTTATACACAATATATGGTAACTTTAAACTTTCAATTACTTATTCAAAAATAATTTAATATATGCCTAAAAAAGGGCACTGACCTAAGTGCTATACAGGTTACAAAAAGATCTTATCTTTATATGCTTGAAAGGTTGGCAGTTTTAAAAGGGAAACAAAATATAGACATCTAAAATATTAAGGAATAGAAGGTATCATGTTCAATGTCAAATGTGAAGCAGAGATAGCATTTTCAGAAGAATTTAGAGATGAAAGAAATAACAAATTAGAATAAACAGGAAATTAATTATGAGAAAGATAGGATTTAAGATGACCTTTGAAGAGCAGATAAGATTCAGATAACCAAAAAGGAACAGAAAGTACATTCCTGATACAGGAATTTTAGAAAAGGAAAAAAATACTTATTATTATATCATTATAACAATTTTAAATAATGCAGAGTTGTTTAAAATGAAAAAGACTTCATGAAGTATATACTACTTTGAAGATATTTTTTCTGTTAAAAAAAAAGACTTCTAACACTGTAAAACTCATGATTAGTGTTAAGTCAGTACTAACTAGCACTTATTGGCACCTAGCCATAAAAGCTCACATGAGCTCTCAATCATGTATGTTTGGTAAGTTTGATAAGAGCAAGTTTCCCTAGTAATATCCATTAAATTCTGTAATCAGAATGTCCACATCACATTTTATAGAAGTAATTAGCCTTAAGAAACTGTGATATTCTGAAATGCTCATATGACATCATAAGCTTCCCACAGCGTTGAAGGAAATTTGCTATTCAGAGTGACTTGGCACTATTCAGTTTGATTTTAAACTGAGACAAGCAAGAATGTAAACACATTGTTACAACAATAAAATCAAAAAAGGCGTTTGGAACTGTAGTTCCTGATTTGTTTAACATAAGGAAATGAGTCATTTGACTCTGTCATGCAAACTCTGTTTTTTATAAAGTATAAGCCTTGGTGACCAATTAAGTTGTCAGGCACAGAAGGGTCTTCGTCACAATGACTAAGTAAAGTTAAATGCCTTAGTGATATAATCTACAATAAGAGAAAATTCCAATTCCTAGTATAATATTTAATTTGTCTAGTTGGTCAAAAGGTATCCAGGTGAATTTTCATGTTCATATGCTTTCAGGTAAGCATCTTTCTCCTAGAAGTGTCAAAGAGAATAGCTGAGGGTTAAAGAAAGGTAGATACTTTTAATAGTTTGGCATTGCTGGTGAACTGCTTGTCAGTGACAAAATTGCATTAAAAATATCTTAATCCAGAAAGGTATTTTATCACAAGCTTTATATCCTGAGGTAGACATGTTTACACGTAGTCACATGACATGCATATGTTTAACCAGTTAAAAATAATCAAGGTGATTCATAAGAATGAATTGGTTTATTTTTTCTTAATTCTTTCTACTATGTTCTTACCGTATTATGAGGAGTTCTACCCAGACTCGTACAAAAGCTGGTAATGGACCAAAGACTTCCAAAATATAAGTGTAATGACCTCCGGATTTCTTTATACTTGTTCCCAATTCAGCATAAGACAAGGCTCCTGTGAAATATTTGTCACAAAATGGTACCAATTTAACACATTTTCAAGACACCTAGCATTAAAATGGATACAATAATGTTTATATGCTGCCTGAGATGTAACTATCTCCTTTGGTCTGAATGGCATCCTTATTCAAGACAAATAACCGTCATCTAATTGCTAAGACCCGCCAAGTTCCTCTTCTAACATCCTCACAGCTGAGATTTAGTTCACTCTATTTGAACACTATAATTTTACTTGAAATGACAAAGACACGTGTCTACAACAATATCATGTGTCTCAGAATTTTGAGATGAAAACCTGGAAATAGGGGAAAAAGAGAAGAGAGATGTCAATAATATCGACCTATTTTTAGAAGAACACAACCTCACTCCGAGACAAGGCGTTAGTCCAAATGTTTGAGTTAGCTTTTAACTTTTTTTTGAATTATTTTTTGAGAACCCTTTTAATAAATTATGTTTCCGTGGAAAATCGAAATAAATAAGCTGTATCCACTCTTTAGAAAACTATGGACTCTATGCCTTGCAAGATTTCATTTAATTTGTAGGATATATTTTGTCAACAAAATGAATTCTGACTCCTTCTGTTTCTATAAAAGGCTATATTGAATGTTTTTTGAAGTGTACACTCTGGGTTTTTTGTTCTTTTTTTTTTGTGAGATAGAGTTTCTCGTCACCCAGGCTAGAGTGCAATGGCGCTCTCAGCTCACTGTAACTTCCGCCTCCCAGGTTCAAGCAGTTCTCCTGCCTCAGGGTCCCGAGTAGCTGGGATTACAGGTGGCCACCACCACGCCCAGCTAATTTTCGTATTTTTAGTAAAGATGGGGTTTCACCACGTTGGCCAGGCTGGTCTTGAACTCCTGACCTCAGATGATCCATCCACCTCGGCCTCCCAAAGTGTTGGGATTACAGGCGTGAGCCCTTGCGCCCAGCCAGAATATACCTTTTTTTTTTTTTTTGAGACAGAGTCTCACTCTCTCTCCCAGACTGGAGTGCAGTGGCACAATCTCTGCTCACTGCAACTTCTGCCTCCAGGGTTCAAGCTATTCTCCTGCCTCAGCCTCCCGAGTAGTTGGGATTACAGGCGCCTGCCAGCACGCCCGGCTAATTTTTTGTATTTTTAGTAGATACCAGGTTTCTCCATGTTGGCCGGGCTGGTCTCGAACTCCCAACCTCAGGTGATCTGCTCGCCTCGGCCTCCCAAAGTGCTGGTATTACAGGCGTGAGCCACTGCACCCAGCCTAGAATATACTTTTTAAATGAGGTGCTATAATTTATATTTGTGTACTTCAGATCGAATTAACTATAAGCTAAATTTTTAATATTTAACGATACAATTCACATAAAATTGGACAAATATGCAATTCCACAAAACCTCAGTTTCACTCTCTGTGAAATGGAGATCTCAGTTTCTACCTCATAAAGGAATTATGTGTATAGATGTGGCAGTGGGTACCTAGGAGAGTACACGGCCTGACACATGGCAAGCATCACATGAAATATAGCTATACTTATTAATTTGAGTAATTAACAAGAAAATAAAAAATATATCCTGTCATTATGTGAAAAGTTCTATCTGTACTGCCAAGTGCTCAAATGTAAGAACACGACTTTTTTCCAAGCTACATCTGAGAATAAAAGTGTAGAGAAGTATTACTGATTAATAATAATTTAGACAGAACTGTCCAACATAAATATAATTTGGATATTCAGTGAAATCTTAGTGTTACATATTTTATATCTGATTTCTAAACTTGTCATGACATCAAAGTCACCTAGGAATAATTGTTTTGTTTTTTTTTTGAGAGAGGGTATTGCTCTGTCACCTAGGCTAGAGTGCAGTGGCACAATCTCGCCTCACTGCAGACTCCGCATCCTGAGCTCAAGTGATCCTTCCACCTCAGCCTCCCGAATAGCTGGGGCCACAGGCGTGCACCACCATGCCCAGCTAAATTTTTGTGTATTTTTTGTAGAGACAGGGTTTCGCCATGTTGCCCAGGCTGGTCTGGAACTCCTGGGCTCAAGGGTTCTGTCTGCCTCAGCCTCCCAAAGTGCTGAGATCATAGGCATGAGCCACCATGCTTGGTCTAGGAATAATTTTTAATTCGAAAACACTCAAATGAAAAACAGACTCTAATCAAGAGAGTGTAGATTGTCCACAAGAGAAATTCAAGAATCTCTATCATTTTAAAATTTGCACAAATAATTCCGAAGTAACTAGTCTGCAGACTGATACGTGGGGAACACTTATATATTTCATCTACCTATAACTAATTATAACGAGTTGCAACTCACTCTCCATGGGGAAACATTCGCCATGTTGGTAGGCTGTCCAGAAAAGGATCCAATATAAAATGTTATTGGAAAGAGTCTTAAGTACCTCAGAATTTATTGTCAGAGAATCAATACCTAGACCTCTGTATGCTTTGCTGAAACTCCAGGATGGTTGCCCTAGGTTTACACTGAGTTCTGGGGGAATGATTTTCATTTAAAGGTCTAAAGCTTCATAACCATTTTGCCCAGATGAAAAAAGTTCAAAACAAGATGTAAAAATCCACGTATTGACCCTTCACTTAAAAAAAAAAAAAACTATATATATTAAACCAAATGTACAGATTCTTTACAGTTGATCCCAGAGTTCTAGAGTCTTTTTAAAAAGAAGGATTATTTTTTCTTTACATTTTGCTTTGCTTACTGTTAGAGAGGCACTCCTGTCCAGAAGCTTCTGGTAACTTAAGTGACAAATGCAATGCAAATAAAGATAAGTAGATTAATACAAGAGCACACTCCCTTCAATTATTAATCAAAGAACACCAGCTCAAGTGTAATGTTAGCTAGTCTCCTTAGCTGTTTCTCTCTTTTTATTGTTCTTGAGCTTCTGCTTAAGATGATATGTAATACTTATGCATAAGCATATTTTCATAGTGCAAGTCAACATCACTTTAACTAGTTCAATACTCATACTGATCTACTTTATTACATCTGAATAATCCTTTATTATGTGCAAAAATTGAATCCCATAGTGGAAGCTGCATGCACATAAGTATGCAAAGTCCAGTAAACTGGTTGTGGTTTTTCTGATTAGATATTGATTTATTCTGAATATATAAAGTGCTGTAGGAAGATTTAAAGACTGAGGTGCACAAAGTCATTTAAGATGATCAACAATTAGGTTTCTCTTTATCTACAAGTGCATACACCAGAGCTATTTTAAAGTTAATAGTGGCTAAGGGTACTATTAGAGTTTCTCATAATGGTATTACTCCAGATTATTTTATAAAGATGGGAAGTAATACTGGGAAATAATGATACACAAATGTTACTGAATATTTAATAAAGCACAAGTTAGTCATATAAATAATACCACAAACTCTTTCTAAAAACCCCAAATAATTCCTCTATAAATCTTTCTATACTATGACCTTGTTTTAACAAGTTTTATTTAAAATAAATAAATAACTTCTTCCTAAAAATGGAATTTGAGGACCAGGAGCGGTGTCACTGCTCATGCCTGTAATTCCAGCACTTTGGGAGACTGAGGCAGATGGATCATGAGGTCAGGAGATTGAGACCAACCTGGCTAACACAGTGAAACCCCATCTCTACAAAAATACAAAAAATTTGCCAAACGTGGTGGCACACACCTCTAGTACCAGCTACTCAGGAGGCTGAGGCAGGAGAATTGCTTGAACCTGGGAGACGGAGGCTGCAGTGAGCCGAGATCACACCACTGCACTCCAGCCTCAGCAACAGAGCGAGACTCCATCTCAAAAAAAAAAAAAAAGGAATTTGAGTTATCTAGATGAGCGTCAAACCAACGATTTAAAACATCACAAGGCCTGACTGGAAAGAATGAATGGATTGGTACACAGGGGAACAAGAGTTAGTACTTGTTAGTTAGTCCTAGAGTTAGTTAGTACTTGTTAGTGTTAGTCCTAGAGTTAAGACAAAGAGCAACTTTAAAGTATAGAATCTTTCCCAAGAAGAGTAAACAAATCTTCATAGCATAAATCAAATTTAATGTTTGACAGTTCACCAGTTTCTATCATCTTTACAACAAACTCAGGTAGCGCTCTAGTAATTTGCCTATTTCATAAGGGGCATTTATTTATCTCATTATTAATTCTCAAATCAACAGAAGAGACATAAATTTTGAAGAAAAATTCATAATTATACTTCTACCAGTTCCCTTAGGATTAATTCAGTGAACAGGTGGACAAATTATCTGTGTCCCTGGAGAACAAGTGAAATATAAATGATAAAAACAGATCTGGGCAAGCACAGAAAACTAACACCCAACTGAAGTTTTAAAACTTACATTGCAAAAGTGTATGGGTATTGAGAAGAGATGAAAGGTTGAAAAGTAATTTGAAATTTGCTCAGGCCATTGCAATATGCCCCATTATGATAGGGATTGAGTTATGCGCCATCATACATTTCTCTCTCATGCCAAGGACTTTTGAAAGGATATTAAGAGGTGACAAGCATATGAACTTAAAAAATATTTTTAAAAAGACTGCCACCCATTTGTTAGGCTAATAAAAAGTCAGTAAGGCTTCTGCTGAACACTTCGTTCTATGTCTAAATAGGCCATGCCAGGTTCCACTTCACAGGTGTTTCATTCAACATGCCAGCTGCCAGAGTGCCCAAGCTAAGCACAACTGCCCGGCACAGAAAGTGTGCATGTTTTTTACGGGGTCATGAAAGTTAGTCTTTGCTCTCATCCCACAGGGAAAAGTCAGAAAATAGCCTGCCTTAGTCAGGAAAAGAAAGTACAGCCTGTAGGAAACAATTTGAGGGCGTTCCAGATCACACCAACAGTGGATTCTGCGTCTGGGTAGTTCACGTACCTGAACAAAAATTTTAAAAATTTGGTGTGGCCTTTGCCATCCATTCACTCCTCAAAAATTACCATTTGCTTTCCCAGAAAGCAAGCTTTCCAGTCCCACAGCCACGCCCCCTCCCCCCCAGAGAAAAAGTTGCACTCACCAAATAGTGACAGGACCCCACACACCGTCCAGATGGTCAGAGACATGCCCACGCTGCCTGTGTTCTGGAGCACGCCCTTAGGAGAGATGAAGATTCCTGCTCCAATGATGGTGCCAATGATAATGGAGATTCCCCTCAGTAAAGTGACTTTCCTCTTCAGCTGCACTTTCTCCTGCCCAGGTGGCTCCTTGTTGCCCAGGGAAGGCAGCCTCCTGTTAACATTTCCCTGCAGGTAACCTCCTTTGGAGATGGTGGACACAACAGGCTTTCTGACCATAGTAGGGGCACACGGGGGAAAAATAAAACAGAGGGAAAGAAAACAAAACTTTCAACTTTGGTGTCTCTTGGTGTTACTGATCGAGGTCTTCCTCTTTGCTTTCTTTGCTTTCAGACTGTCTTTCTCAGCCCTATAGTGTTCACAGGTAAAAACCCAAAGGTGTGCTTTATCCTTCACAGCGGCTAATTACTAATCAGAAACACCTGTGTATGCATCGTGCTCCCAGTTCTCCACCTCCTCGTTCTACCGCTGCTGCTGCTGCTGCTGCCGCCCTATCATTACAAACCAGCTCAGCTTCCTCATGGGCTTGTATTTAAGCGCCTGCCTGTCACACCAACTTACTACAGCTAAATGATGATGCAAATTCTCCAGGTTTGCATCAGCCACATGAGAAGGCTCCAGCATTACTCAGCTCTTTTTTTTTCAAAAAAAAAAAAAAAAAAAACAGGAGGAGCTTGTTGCTCAACTGACCTAAGCTTTTTAGAGAACAAAGCACACACTTTAAAGAGACTTTGGCCAATCCAGAAGTAGTAAATTCGGAACAGACCTTCCCAGAGATTTAAAGCAACTCGTAGTGAGCAACAAAAGCTGTTCAAACAAAATGAAACAGGAAATAGTTACTTCATTTTAAGGAGTTTCTTTTTCTTTAATGCATGTATAAAAACATTTTACACGTGACTGTTTTGTGAGTAGAATGTATCCTAAAGCTGCATTTTTTTATAACAACACAGTTTGAGTTTCATAATTTGTGTAATGCTTATTTTTATTTTTTATTTTGAGTTTCTTATAAGGCAATACAGTCAAATCTAACATTTACAAAATTAAAAAGATTCTACACTTTATACTGTGTCACATACATACAACTGTAAGCCTTCCTCAACATTAAAAGATAAAATTATTTCTTACTACTCATAATAAACCAACATTTTAAATCACATCTGAGTGTGACAAATATAAAATTCACCATGACTCCAGAAAATAGTCATTTTCTGATTCTCATTAGCACAAAGTGATTTTTTTTTAACTAATGTAAAAGATACATATTGTTCCTTTGAATTACCAAAAAAAATTTCTAAGTTCAAAATTACACAATTACAATTACATAAAAATATGCATATAGCAAAAGACTGTAAAGGAAAACACAGAATAGTAGTTACAGAAAGTAATGATATTATGTATGACTTTTTCCACATTATATAAACTATTGTTATATTATGATTATAAATTTAAAATGCATTAAACATGTAAGCTAAGATTAAAATATTTACTTTGTAATTGTCAAAAAGGCAAAACATTTTTAAACCCTTCTAACTTTCTCAACCAAGTGTCAAAAAAAAATAAATACGAAAAGAAAAGAAATCCTAGATATCATTTTTGGCTATAGTTACATGTGGTTTTGAATGCAGTGAGAAGAATTGAATGTTATCATTACCCTGAAGCTAGCTTTATATGCACCATTAAATATGCTTCTGAACCTTTGAACAAAAACCACAAACAAAAAGCCTGTGTGCGAGAGGTTGGCAGGGAAAGAAGGGAGTCAAGTATGGTCAGGATGATCAAAGAAGGAAATAAGAAATTGCCATTAGGAAAGTAGCATCAAAAAGGTCAGACCATTTTCTGTTGTGTTGGCACCTGAGAAAATGACACCACCTCAATGCTTTGCCATCCAAATAATTGAGGCGACATTTTCTCCTTTTTAAATTATCTATCTAAATTCTATATAATTGGCTTTGGCTACACCAAGTTAAAGTTTTTATTTAATACTTTCTCTCACTTGTTATGTCTTTCAAAAAACAAAAATGGGTCATTTTCCTCATGCAATCTTGCTAAAACTCCTAAAGAAGGAAGCTAAATAGAGATTCTTTTCCTTCCAATTCTCTTCCTCCTCCTACATCTCCTTTCAACTCACACAATTTTCCTGATTAATGTACCTAAGGGGGAGTGGCTTTTGTTTCCCAATAAGAGAAACATATTAGCTCTGAAGACATATGAGGTAAAAGTAGGACGCTAAGAATCACAGGGAACAGCAACTTTCTTTCTCTAATTAACACAGTGTCACACTTTAATTTTGAATTTTGTTATAAATAATTGAACTAATAAGTTGAGCCAAAGACCCCAGTCAGATAGGAAGCTGAATGAATTCCAAAGGACGATTATTCTTTCAATATTAAATAACATTTTCCTCCTCACAGTATTTTTTTAAAATTGTGAAGAAAAATGGCTGATGTTAGACTAAAAACCAAAAGGATTATACTTTCATGTAAGATAGAGGCCACCACTCACAATGTTTGCAAAGCTGCACATTGCCACTAAGGGCAGCAGTGTACCTCTTCTAAGCACCCCAAAATCTGTAGAAAATGCAGTTTATAAACAAAATGTTGAATTTTCTTGAACTCTTAAAATCGCCATTTCTAAGCTTGTAAACTAAGAGTTTGGATGGTCCTCAAATACTTGTGTAACATAAAAATGTGTTCAAAGCAAATGAATACATATTCTTCGTCCTGTATTAGGCCTTATTTTAAGTATAGCTGTCAAATTATGGGACTATCCTAGTGCAATTTGCAAAAACTTATTTACTGCTTACTGTGTACAAGAATTAGTCCTAGCTTCCTCACAGCATCTCATAATAGAAATAGACATAATGTATAGTGGTAGCTACCATTTTCTAGTAATAATTTCTGTCCCATGGTTATAAATATAGGTATATAATCTAGGCCTGGCCAAATATAATCCATTGTTCTGGCTGCAGAGTACTGGAATATTACCTGAGCTTGGATATTTCTAAACAGAATTAGAATTAGCTTTTTTCATCTGTTGTTGGAGATTGTAAAGATGTGACCTGAGAACAACCCGGTGGCCATGTTCCTTGACGTGTTGCAAATATCCTAATGGAATAAGATTGAATATGCAGAAATTAGAGATATTCAGAAAGTCCAAGTACTATCATGCCCTATCTTAGTTCCTAAAGGACACAGATTGGCTTGGGATCCTGAAGATCTTCATTTGCTTCTGTAAGCTACCTAGTTTCCTTGCCAGGTATGCTACCTAATAACACATCAAAAGTCAATTGCACATGGATCATGGAGCTAAACTTGAATGGCGCATCATGAACGTTTCTAGAAATGGGTCACCCGATATAATAGTAATTAGTCACATGTGGCTATCAGCTCTTGAAATCTGACTAGAATTTGAAGTCTTAAAGAAAAATAACAAAAAAGTTATTAATAATTTGTATTATTCATATTAGTTTTGCCTATTTTATTTTTTATTATGGCTACTAAAAATTAAAATCATATCTGTGGTTCAAAGTTGTGGCTTACTTTATAATTCTAATGGACAGTGCTGATCTAGAGTAAAATGCAGAATATATTTCTAAACTTTGTGTAAGCAGGGATTTCTTAAAAGGGACTCACAAACCCTAATATAAAAAAGAGAAAAATATAGTGTAATATATTAAAATTAAGAATTTGAGTTTATCAAAATATACTATTTGATTATAAAAGTGAATCTTAAAATGGGACAAAATATTTCCAATTTGCAAAGCTCTCATATCCAGAATAAATAATAAGTTTGTATAAATCAATAGGAAAATGACAGACAACCCAATAAAAAATGGCCAAGAAATTTGAACAGATGTTCAATAAAATAGTCAATTCATTTGTGAAAATCTGCTCAATAGCATTAGTTATTGGGGCAATTAAAACCAAAACCACAATAAGCCATCAATTCCCACTGAGAGTGGCTCACATGAGACAGACTAGTAATACCAGGAGTACTGACAGCATGGAGCCACCAGAATTCTTACACTGCCGCTGGCAGGACACAAATTGGTGCATCCATTATAGAAGGCTGTTCGATGGTATCTTTTAAAGTTAAACAGACACATACTCTTTGAACAAAAAACACTCCTGGGAATATGCCCAATAAAAATGCAGGGCATCTATATGTCAAAAAGCATGGATGAGAACATTCCCAGTACCTTTATTCATTTGAAAATAACCAAATGTCCATTAACAGTATAACAGATATATATATCATTGTATTTATTCAGTGAAATACTGCAATGCTCTAAAAAAAGGACGAACAATGGTGATATAAAAAACAATATGGGTGATTCTCACATAATGTTAGAAGACAGAAGAAAAAAGCATATACTGCAGGGTTCAATTTATATAAAGTTTAAAAACAGGTGAAATGATTCTACAGTCTGAGAACTCTCTGGTTATCTTTGGAGATAAGATTTCTAGTGATTGCGAGGGGGAACCAAAACAGTTCTAGAGTCTTGGTATTGTACTATTTTATCACCTGGGTAGTAATTACCTGACTATTTTAACTTTCTGACAATTCACTGAGCTTTACATTTATTTTATTTTATTTTACTTTATTTTATCATTTTTTTTTGAAACGGAGTCTCACTCACTGTGTTGCCCAGGCTGGAGTACAGTGATATAATCTCAGCTCACTGCAACCTCTGCCTGCCAGGTTCAAGCGATTCTCCTTCCTCAGACTCCCGGGTAGCTGGGATTACACGCATGCGCCACCATGCCCAGCTAATTTTTGTATTTTTAGTAGAGACGAGATTTTGTCATGTTGGCCAGGCTGGTTTTGAACTCCTGACATCAACTGATCCACCCGCCACGACCTCCCAAAGTGCTAGGATTACAGGCATGAGCCACTGCGCCTGGCCTACATTTACATTGTTATACCTCTCTGTATTTATGTCATAACTCAGTTATAAAAAAAAAAAGCACAATAGTTGAAAATTTGTGATGTTCTTTCAGAAACAGATTGCTCAAGCAGACAAATAAGCAAAACTGTAGAAAATTTGGGGAGCATAATTGATCAACTCAATACAGTTACTTTATAAAGAATTTCCCATCCACCAAATACAAAATAAAAATTATTTTCAAGTATATATGAAACATTAACAAAACTATTCGTATCAAAGACAAAAATGAAACCCCAGCAAATTTCAAAGAATCAACATTATGTAAACTACACACTCTTACTGTAAGTAAGGAAGGAGATCACCCTTCATATCATCTTATGCCCAATTTGTGCCTCCAAAGAAAGAAGAAGTAAAAACTAAAAGGCAGAAATGAAATCCACAGGCAGACAGCCCAGCGCCGCACCCTGGGCCTGGTAGTTAAAGATCCACCCCTGAGCTAATCGGTTCTGTCATCTATAGATTACAGGCATTGTATAGAAATGCACTGTGAAAATCCCTATCTTGTTTTGTTCTAATCTAACTACTGGTGCATGCAGCCCCCAGTCACGTACCCTCTGCTTGCTCAATCAATCATGACCCTCTCACATGCATCCCCTTAGAGTTGTGAGCCCTTAAAAGGGACAGGAATTGCGGAGAGCTCGGCTCTTGAGACAGGAGTCTTGCCGATGCCCCCGGCCGAATAAACCCCTTCCTTCTTTAACTGGGTGTCTGAGGAGTTTTGTCTGCCGCCCGTCCTGCTACATAAATATGCAACAAAATTAGAAATTAATAGTTATAAAACTAATAAAATAAATCTTATATGTCTGGAAATTAAAAATCATACTACCAGCTGGGTGCAGTGGCTCATGCCTATAATCCCAGTATGAGGCTAAGGCAGGAGAATCGCTTGAGCCTGGAAGGCAGAGGTTATAGTGAGCTGAAATTGTGACACAGGGAGACTCTGTCTCAAAAAATAAATAAATAAAATAAATAAAATCATACTACCAACTTATCTTTAAATTAGAAAATGGCCCTGAGAAAAAATTCACAAAATACTTAAAA